AGCAAGTTCCTTCCCCAGAGCTTTTGGGATAGGATGGAGCACGATTTCTATCACTTACAGCAGGGCAGTTCTACAGTGGATGAGTATATCCGCACTTTCACTCGCATGTGCCTTTTTGCGGGGGATGCAGTGAACACCGATGCCAAGAAAGCCCGCAAGTTTCTCAAGGGGCTCAACCAGAGGATCCGTGAGCTGGTGGGAAGTCACGGACAGATGTCCTATGCTGATACCGTGAGTCGAGCTCAGGAGGTCGAGAGCTGTCTCATTCCATTGGCTCCAGTCCCCTCTTACTACCATGCCGCCCAGCCATCTCAGGCCATTGTCCAGCATGCTCAGCCCATCTCAGCTGTGCTGACCGGCTCTAGTTCGGGCAAGAGGAAATCCGATTATCAGAACAAAAAAAAGGGCAAGAAGGGAAATTTTGGCAGACGCGACGACCGACCAACTCAGGGTCAGCAGCCGAGGTGCCCTAAGTGCGGCAGGTTCCACACCGGGGAGTGCTTAGCAGACCAGCGAGCTTGTTACAACTGCAACCGTCCGGGCCATTATGCTAGTATGTGCCCTGAGCCCAAGAGACAACATCATCAGCAGGCCCTTCCCCAGCAGCGACAGCAGCAGCTTCCCCCACCGCCACCTCATCAGCAGCCTCCACCGTCCCAGCAGAGGGCTGGGGGTCAGGCCCGAGTCTACACCATCACCCATGACGAGGCCGCTCGCAACGCATGTACTATGTCAGGAATGCTTTTGATATTCCATGTGCCTGTTTTTGCTTTATGTGATATCGGTGCTACCCACTCCTTTATATCTTCTCGTTGCTTGGAGGCCTTGTCTCTTAGCACTGTGCATGCTTGTGACCCTCTCGAGGTTAGTTTAGCCTCGGGAAAAATTATTATCTCTGATTCATTGGTTCGCAATCTTCCTATCTGTATCGGTGGTCGAATTCTGGATGCCAGCGTTTATGTAATTGATATGCGAGACTTCGACGTGATCTTGGGCATGGACTGGCTCACCCGTTACCGAGCCGATATTCGGTGCCAGGAGCGCGAAGTCACCCTCTATCCTGTTTCCAATCAGCCTGTTGTGTTCTTTGGGGTAAGTTCGAGGACTGTGCCTCGGGTCATCTCTTCCATGCAAGCTAGGAAGAGCCTTTCCAAAGGTAGCTGTCAAGGTTACCTTGTCTCCATGGTATCCAACGATGTTGATGAGCGGGTGCCCGAGAGAGTATTTATCGTTTGTGAGTTCCTCGATGTTTTTCCTGATGACTTACCTGGGGGACCGCCAGACTGTTCGTTCCATTTTTGTTAGTGTTTTCGTGTTTATTTTATGTTTATTTCTCCCC